TCAATGAGTTTGGCTTGTCCTCAATGAATCCGTTCGAATACAAATCAGACTGGGGTTTGATGTGATGACGGTAATAGTGTTGTTTTTATATGTTTGACAGCTGGTTGTGAATTTTTTATGAAATTTTTTACGCCACCCATTTTTGCTTAATTTAGCATTTGCTAGCATTTGCTAAATTAATATTGCACGTTATTTTTTGCTTAAGAATGTAGTCCTGTACGCCTGATTTGCGAACATGTTGATGTGTTTAATAGCCAACTGTATGTGCAATTCATTACCAGTTGTTTTGAAACTGCAGTCTTGTTATATAATGGCATTTGGTAATCTGGTGCAGTCTCACTCATGCTGGCCAGTGTGTCAATTATTTATTCCGATTAAGCAATCGTTACATCTCCAATTGGCTAAATTAAAGCCTTTCATACGTTGAAAGAAATTTCATTGATTTTAACCAACTTGACAAAACTACATTGATGTCACTGTTTTATCTTAATTTAATATCTTGTTACACGCCTGAGACAATTTGAAAACACAAAACGCAGTGCAATGTGATTAGATGACCTGGTGCATTTTCTTCGAGAAGGGATATATCTGCAGGGTTTTTTTTTGTTGGCAAAATCTAGTTTTGATACGGAGAGAAATCTATTTCCTGAGTTGCACGATGGTCTTTATAAGCGGTACTGTGTCCAAAACAGGGCGGAGAACGGGAGATGATGTATTGTTCCCACCAGACTGCCCAAGGCCGTGTTTCATGACCCGTGGCAAAGTGGGAAGCACAAAATGCATTTTCTCTCAGCTGAAACGCCCTATTCAAAAGTGTCCCGTTACGTCGTAATGCACACTTGTGACTTTTGTTTCTGGTGGCATTGACGTCAGTCGGTAGCCGTTAGTGTGAATGGAAAGGACCGGTCTTTCCAAAATATATATTTAGCTTTTTTTTTAAAGGACATTCGTGGCTCATGTCATTCAATATGGAATCTGTTTCCAGAGATATAATAAGATTACTTTTGACGTTTTTTTTTTGTTTGTCATTGACGTATAGAATTCAAAACGTGCTGGTTTTGTCAAACATGTTGTAAATGCCTTACTGTTACGAGGCAGTTTATGGCCCATTGCGAAGCATTCAACTGTGTGTGTGTTTTTTAGCAACTGAGCAAATCGTGCCAAATATCATGGAGCGGTAGTGGTTTCTCTATTTCACATCATTAAAATCCATTCCATTCATTAAGTCAACTATATGCTTCACTGGGCAAAAAATGATCTTAAGAGCAATTATTTGTTATAATAGGGTAATTTGTAATGACTTGATATATGTTTTATGTGGAACGCAAACAGGACAATAAATATATAGGTTTTCACGTACTGCTTGGAAATTGATGATACAATGTTTATGTCTGCGTAAATTGATATTTGGCATTGAGAATTGCATTAATATTAATTGATGTCGGGAGTGTTTTTCCGTGGTGGTTTTGCCACAGCTACCGTTTGTGTTATAAAATGTGTTGTAGAGCCTTAAATGTCTGCCAGCAATGGACATCGAATCTATCAGGTTGGTACATAATGAAAAGCACTACCTACCACGCTGCCGCAAAGGCCGAAATTGGATTTTGAACCACAAAACCTTGGGTGTTGTGGTAACTGATCATTTTGCTTCTGCATGTATCCTGCTGCACAGCTGTCATATATTTCATTTCAGAAGCACCACTCAAATATGCTGCTGTTGCCAAAGGCACCTCTGAGAACACACTCGCCACGGGCAGCTAAATTGTGAAATTATTTGTTTCTAACAGGCTATTCATGTTTTTAAAAGACGTTAATATCTGCAATTCGTCAATTTTGTTCTGTTAACGTAGTTAAAAAGGATATGAGATGTGATGAATAGAGCAAAATAAACATTTTGAGGAAAACTCTGTGCTTGTAGGGTATAAAAGCCTCCCTCGTGCGTCCTGCCCATGGCACATTTGCGGTCAATTTGATGGCCTCAGTTTTACCCCATATCTGGGGCTACCAAACCGTATTGCATTCAGCGGTACATTATATGATATATCCAAATCACTGCGCTCTATGCAACCCGCCTTTAATTACTGCGGGTAATTTGTAATGGTATACCCGCAGCCTTACCCCGAGCTGAACTGCATGTGTCCGCAGCTAACCGTCGTAGCTGTAGAAATATTGTCAGGTTGTTTAGGTGGTGGGCACAGCTGAAGAGCTTTTTTCGAGGTGGAACTCGTGACTATATCTGCGTTAGCAATATTTTGCCTGGGGCGTAGAATCGTAGGTCGATTGGAGCTCTGGTGGGCAGTGATCTTCCTGCAGGGAGGGGGGAACCCATCACACTAAATGAACTCTGGCAGCCACATCCCTGCGCGATTCCATGAATGTCTGAAAAAAAACACTCATGGCTGTAGAGGAATATGGCTGTGGGACATCGGGGGTCAGTGGGGAGTCACAATCCATCGTGGGAAATGATATTGCAGGTCATAGTTCAAGAGCAGACATTGCGCTCCATTAAGAATGTATGTATAACATGACAAATTGTACTGCACAAGCCCTTAAAATTGGATTTTTTTAAATAAACAAACCAAATATTAGACGTTTCATTGTTTTCCTGTCATTCTGGTAAGGTTGGTGTTGGAGTTTTTCATAATATAAAAACACTAATGCTTTAATTCCTTGCAATGTCTTTTGCTAAATAATACCATTTTATAGTATGTACATTATGTTTGGAATTCCATAACCCAAAGCAGGGCTTTCTTCTAAGATTGTGAATTCTGCCCAACAAGACAGTTGTTGTTTTTACAGTAATCTAATCTTATATGCATTATTATATAATGGATTTCCTTTGCGTATATATTTTTTATATAGCTGTGCTGTTCCTTTGGAGTGCTGTTAACACAGTTGCCGATATAAATGCAATTATTTTTCTGTCATAATCAAATGATCTGCATTAATTTTGAAAATGGTGTATCCTACCGGTATGTTTAAAATAATTATTTGTAACCAGCTATGATAAATGATGGCATTCGTCACGCTGGTGAAGAGGATTAGTTTTACTAGAACCATTAATTTTTCGTAAACGTACTGCATTTTAATTTAAAAATATATAAAAATACTGACTTGACACAGTGCAAATATGCAGTGCGCATTCGCATTTTACTGGCGGTGTGTCCTCTTGCACGCTTATTGACAATAATAATTATAAAAATTCCACAGTATGACTATTAATTTATTTTGCTGAATGAGTTGTGAGATAAGTGTGGTGGCTGGGGCTTGCACATCTGAGCTTGTCTAAGCTCGGCACGTGTGATGGCTGCAGACTGCCTTATCTCATCCGGCCACAGACTTCCTGCTGGCATCCCGAAGCTGCGCTGCAAATGAGTGCAGAGCATTGCCCCCGGAACGCCTGTCTAAATTGTATTCGTGAGAGTGCCCCCGATAGCGCAGTAAATACTTGGTTTTCTTCAAGAGAAAACGTGGAAATGTGGCAAAGCATGTGACTGCTTTTTTGCACTAATGCCAGTAAATGAAACGTGCTGTTGTCTGCATTCCTGCTTGGTGACAACTGACACTCATTCTCAGCTGCTGGCTAAATCCTGCGAGTAGAATCTGTTTGTTTTGGAGGGGTGGGGGGTTGGCAGTAACCGTGGCTACTTGGGTTGGGGGGGGGGATCCAGACTGTTAAAGCGTGTGCCACATTATTTTGTAACGCGTAACATTGAATCGCCTGGCTTGACACAGTAATTGCCAGCGCTAGAGACCAATGCTTATACAGCACTTGTTTTAATGTTGTAGGCAAACACAGTGGCGATTGTCTTGGATATATATATACACTTGTATTGTGTGTACTGTGTACAGCCCTTTATCAGTCCACTTCTGGAAGAGGGGGGCCTCCTCACACTGTGGGGTTGTGGGGGTTATTTGACCATACTTCGCTCATGGTTATATACCATATTGGAGTATTGTGTAATTTAATGCACGTATTTATTGTGACAGGGTGGCTCATCGGCGAAATGCCCGCAAGTACGCTCGATGGGTGCATGGAATATATAGAGTCGCGTTCCCCTTGGTAGGGGTCTTTTGCTTGGTTGGGGGGCGGGCATTGTTTTTTTAGGATGGACACTGTGTTGTGATCCACTTCTATAATCCAGTCGTTTCTGTTGGATTTGCCATCGCGGTAATGGGCTTTGGTCACATTGTGCCGGATATACGTTTTGTCAATCCAATGTCACACGAGCCGAGGGTACGTACCATCAATGCTTTTGGCGGCTGGCGGCTTGTTAGTGGTGGCAATGGAGCGAGGGCGGGGTTTGTCTTTTGGAAAAAAAGAGCAGGACAATCAACTAAAAATGCTCTCGCAATTTACCACGGCGAGACAGGCGGAGGCAGCCGGCCTGCTTTGCATTCACAAAACACGATGCGACAGACTCGGCGGTGACCGTTCAGAGAGCCATCGAACACGATTTGCAACGTTGTTTCAGTGGCCAAAGAAAGTGACTGCCCGAAGGCATTATTGATTGTAAAAAAATAAATGTTAGCTGTCTGTTCAAGTGAGATAATTATAGAATTATTTACGAACTGAACTTGTTGGGCACCATTGTAGATTCGGACCGACAATCTTAAGGTCGGCTTTTATCAAAGCACCTGTTTCTTTCAAATAAAAGTTCTGAACGACATAAAATTCATTGCCTAATTGTAGGCTGAGAGACAAAACACTTTTTTGGGAATAAGAAAAATAGCCTGTTATAAATTTTAATTCTGTGCAGTAATTTAATATATCTTTCTGCATAACAATTCCCGTGTTTTTATGTTGGTAATTTGAAGTTATTGCACTTAATTTGTAGAGAGCAAAATATTGCACGCGTAAAGCAAATGCTTGTTCTACAAATCAGGAACATCTCTTTCATTTATCTACTGTGATTAATTTCTACATTTTGAAAGCTGTGTTGGTATACCAATGCACTTAGCTTACCTGATGTCTTTCCCATGTGTGGTCAACATGACAGGCTGTGCAGCCTCACGCTGAAAAAGCTCATCGTCCTAAAAGAACTGGACAAAGACCTCAACTCCGTCGTCATCGCTGTCAAAATGCAGGTTTGTAGCACCTGAGCGACGACGGCCAATAGATTGTGTAAAGTCCTGATGCAGTGGTGCTCAACCTCCCCCCCCCCCCCCCCTTGTTGAATTTCGTTTCAACCAAGTACCACCTTGCCTGACCCGACATGGTTCTAAAAAATAAATGCATGAATAATGAACATCAATATTTTAACACAATTGTCCATTTTGTGAGGTATCCCAGCTAGCTAGTAACTGCAAGCAAAAATAAAAAAAATGGACGTTCTGCATCCATGACGCAATTTGTTCGCTCTCGCTGGTTACTCTTGAAGACCACGTTTACGATCAACGAGTTTAGAAAGGTATTTTATATCGGTCTAGGTTACCATATGGATTACATTTTTGTCATAGTTATTTTATCTTGTCAGATTCATATGCGAGTATTCACCAATGACTCTCATGTATGATATAATTTCACACATTTATACATCGTCTTTCGTACCCCCTGGGACATTGCCACGTACCTCCAGGGATCCGCGTACTCCCAGTAGAGAACCACTGCTCTAATGGATACGAACTACAACTAAATAATCCTTGCAAATGATAAATGACACCTGCCATGCCAATTTCCACGTCATTTGTATAGAGGAGTGACCTTTTTAACATTTTTCCAACGATGTTTATTCTAAATGCTCATGACATGTTTTTTCAGCAGTGACGAGAGTTTTCTGTACATACGTGTGGTTTTTCTACGGGCCTGCAGGACACTATATATATTCCACAATGTGATCGTAACATGTATTACAATACCATTTGGCTTTATATTGAAATAAAAACAACCAAACAGTGGGTTTAATTATTTTCCAGAGATAAAGAGGCAGTCCGTCATAGGCACAGGAATAAAAGGAAGATAATTAGTATGAACTTGAACTGGACCAGGGTTTTGCCAGCATTAATGGCGAGTTGAAGGGAGTTCCAGACAATGGGGGTGATAAAGAGAGGATGCTACCACCCACTGAGCCAAGATTGACTGGGGTCTTCAACAAAAAGCTTTTGTGGTTGCAGTGGAGAGTGCGGGTAAGAATAGACTGAGATGAGGGGGAGAGGTATGCAGAGGCAAGTGCATGGAGGATCTTGAAAAAGGTGAGATCTTGAGTGATGGACATGGTGTTGGAGAAGACGAGGTTGATAGTTGGACCGTTGTTAGTGAGTAGTATACGGTATTAATTTAGAGCGGTCCGTGGATTCTATGAGCGACTTGAAGGTGGTTGAGGTGGAATGAGATGGCTCGTCAACATTGACATTGAAATCATCAGTAATGATGAATGGAGACGTTTGACTTTGGTGGAGAGTAGACAACGAGGAGGTGAAGGGAAACGTGCTTAAAAAGAGTTGACATTTTAGAAAATATACAGTCTGGTTTAGAGCTGACACCAATTTTCGCCACCCCCCGCCAGCCAGAGGAACGAGCGCACTCACTGAGGTATAGCCAGGGGGGGGACAGCTTTGAGAGTGACTCAAGCAAAGAGGGTGTGCCAAGGCTGAGGTGAGACAGAGAATGTCAACATGTTATACCCTTCTGCAGGAGATTGTAAACGTTGTTGCTTTGAATATGCGGCCCTGGTTTTGTTTTGGTGTGGCACTGTCTTGCTTTGTACAACAGATCAGAAGTGCTTTGATTGTGTTATTAATGTTTCCCGACAGGGTTCCAAGCGTGTATTGCGATCAAATGAAATTCCACTGCCACCAAATGAGACTGATCTGCAGCTGTCTTTCTCACTTCAGGTACGCACTGTTCTTCTGTAACTGTGCACAGCAAGCGTGTGTACTATTTAAATAAGCTGCAAATGTTTGCAACTAAAATGTTTTTTTGAACGCCCTTATGCGTGTCTTAGAAACCACCGTTTCACTGGATTTTTGGTTATAGCACGTGAATTTGTCCTTGTAGACATGACAGACCACAGATAGGATGGAAATTGTAGGTGGCAAGTGTAGTGTCCTCAACGCATACGTTTGTACAGCCACTTGTAATCCAAGTACAATTAATGCCACTGTAAAAAAAGGAATGAAACAGGAGGATCTCCACAAATTTGGCTGCCGCCTGATGATGGTGGTTGTAATTACTGGCGAAACGTTGTACTCAGATTGTAAATGTTGTTTGTGGATTTACCCTCCAACACACTGGTGTGCTGTACGAGTAATGGATTGGCATGCTCTGTTTACGTGAAAAACCTTACTAATTGTCTGTGTGGGGTGGTGGTGGGTTTAACGACACATTTATATTTACGCGATCTAACCAAAAAAAAAAACCTGTGTGATGGCCGATTAATACCGTGTGGGCTGTGTTATTGAGCATTTCCTCTCTCAAGCTTTTGCCATGCACTGCTACGGGTGTCTCGAGGAGTAGCCGGACGCGGTGGTATGTGGATCGGTAATCCAGATGGTTGGACGTGTATGTTGCGGACTCGCGAAGATGCGCTCGTAGCGGTAGCGCGGCGAAAGCATTCGAGAAGAAATGCTCACCGTGCAGCCCAACCCAGAAAACTGCACTCGGATGAACTGTGGTTTTCAGTTAATCTAATTAACATTACAGCTATGGTTTTTTTTCCTAAGTGGTATCACTTAAAGGGTAGAGCTATTACACTTGTACACTTGTTTTGCAGCTCTGTATTGCGAAATCCTTTGTTGTTGTTTTTTGCTGTTGTTGCATTGCTCTGTTAAGATATCTATCTAAAAACCCAACTGGTGATGGATATCCATTGTAATTTATATGACTACATTAACCTGCCCCCACGCCCCCCCCTCTCTGATTGGCTCACAAGTCACGACATCACATTTATCCCTTTATTTAAGACTGAAACATGAGGAGGATTTCTCCACAACTCTGGCTGTCGCCTGATGATGCTGGTTGTAATTTCCGTTGAAACGTCGTACTCGAAATGTAAATGTTGTGGGTTTACTCTCCCAACACACCGTTGTGCTAAACTAGTAAGGAATTAGCATGTTCTGTTCACGTGACAAACCTTTCTAATTGGCTGCGTCGGGTGGTGGCGGGTTTAACGACACATTAATATTTCTGTGATCTAACCCAAAAACCTCTTTTAATTATGTGTTGTATATTTTTTTACAGTACCCCCACTTTTTAAAGCGCGAGGGGAACAAACTGCAAGTTATGTTGCAGAGGCGGAAACGATACAAAAACCGAACTATTCTTGGATACAAGACGCTTGCAGTCGGGGTCATTAACATGTCGGAGGTAAAGTGCTGTGATGAATTATGAAGCTTTTTGTATTAATAATTCAGAGGTCTTATCGTGCGATATTTCTGTGCAGGAGATATGCCAAAGAATCTTGGAATGAATAGATAAAACAGCTAAATTAGTTTAACACGTAATTAGATTAAAATGTTATTTACATATATAGCAATTACAAAAATGTATTAGAAATTAATGGGCAGTAGCAGCAATATTGAGATGAGTGGCATTGGTTTTATGTAGCCTAAATTCTTCATGCTATGTGGATTCATAATGAACGTTTCATGGCCATGCCAGGATTTTTAAAGTGAAGGCACAAAAGGGGTGAGTGGCTCTAATGTGCCGCAATCATCCTTAGCATTGTGTTTAGACATCCCGTGCTGTAGATTCTTTCCTGTCTTCAGCATTACTTGTAAGTCAAATTGAAGGTGCTTGTCTCTTGTGCAATGGTCTATGGAGCTTTCGTTAATGGCCTCTATGTGCTCCATCACTTGGACATATAAGAAATCTACGTTGCCGATAATGTGCTTCGGCAAAACGCAATTGATCACTTTTGAAAACATCGTGCCAGCTTTAATTTTAGTGAGCGAACGAGCGAGCGAGTGGGGGCTCCTATGTTACGGTTAAAAAAAAAAAATCTTCTAACGTAAATAATTGTAAACGACAGACTAAAAGCCAAAGTATGAAAAATGGTATAAACCGTTCCCGCCCGTAGTGGATTTCCCATTAACGCTGTTTGTGGCTCGTGAGCAGGTAATGCAGTGCCCCACGGATGGGCGGCAGATGCTGAGTCTGCACAGCAGCCTGAAAGAACAGACAGCGCGCGTGGCCGAGATTGCAATCTTCTCGCTGTCCAGCCAGCCCATCGACCACGAGGACGGTGGGCTGCAGGCAGCACCAAAACGCAAGTCCCTTGGTGAGAAGCCCTTGGTGTTGTTGAGTCAGAGTTGTCACTCTTATTGCGAAATTTTTACATTTAAACGATAGGTCGCATTTTTAACAAATGTCTCATGAAGCTCGCCAAAGGTAAATCACCTTGATAATACCATACAATTCCATGACAAATCCACCATGAAGTATTGTTTGTATATATAGAGAGATTTTATTGTCATGAAAGAACCCAGAATACAAAGTGGATTTCAAAAAGGGGCCAAAAAACTGCAGATAACATGTGGAACAAACTCGAAGTAATACACACCTCTAAATTCGAGGGCATCTGGGCTCGCTGCCCTATTACGGTAAGGGTAATGATCGGGAGCAGTGAATTTAAGGGGGAGGGGAAGAACATTTAATTAAGGGGATGGGGGGGGGATGTAGTGGTTAATGTTAAAATATTCATTTGTAAATTTAATGCTACATAGAAGAAAAATTATTCAGCCATTTGTCAATCTGCTTCTGGATGATGGCCTCTTGATGCCACGTCGTTTGACCATAATCCACCAAGTTGGTCAGCGCTGGTTGGTGAATAGTTCATAGCACTGTGCAATATCCACCATGCCACCACAACATTGACTATAAATCAAGAGAATATTGATCAGTTTGGCAGGATTAAGCAAATTATTTTGATCGTTAAAGGTATTTATTTTTTACATGTCTCAATAATATATTTTATCACAAAATTGTAGGACCACTATGCATAAACGAAAACCTTTATAATATTGTGCTTGTTTAATGTGTGTTTGTGCAGAGCGCTCGCCAGACATGTACAACTTCTCGGAGGATGAGTATGAAAGCTTCTCTTCGGAGCAAGAGGGCAGCGATGAGCATGCGCCGGTGAGATCCTTTTGATGATGCATTTATTATACAGCATTCTCTTGGTACGCTTCACTGGCTGAGTGAAGAACGCATTATAAAGTGGTGGAGTAGTGCGCAGCGTGGGGGGGGGGGGCATACAGTAGCTTCGCTAGTTGAGAGGGCTTTTTGTTTTAAATCACATGCAAGATTAACATTCCTTAAGCTGGACGCTTATGCTTTGTAATGCTGAGTTTTTTTCCCACCTGAGCTCGTGTTCAGTTATTAATCCGTGAACTGTAGCCTCGGCGGTGTGCGCAAGACCTTTAAGACCACCACCATCGCTTGTTCATGAGTTTAACATTACGGTTACTTTCATGTGATACTTACAAATGCTGTCACATTAACTGGTAATGCTGCTGGCTTAGCGAACCCCCGTTGCATTTAATAATATTTTTGTTTGTGGCACGATTTGTGAATTATTTATTGCCTCGGGGAGGGAATAATCACTCGGTGTAATCCTTTGTTCATTCTGTAGGATTTGTACGATGAGGATGATGATATCCGAAAGCCTAAACCGAGACGGAAAAACCAGCCCACGTCAATGGCACGGGTATGGGCGTTTGATGACGCATGCACTCGCAGGACAAACATACTTTGCATTCGGTCACGTGTCTGTAGCATAATGAAAGCAAAATAAACTTTAAAATAATTGGTAACTGTGAACGATGACTCAATTTTCCTTCACGTTGTCTCCTTGCTGCGTGTTGGCTGGATGTTTTGTCGAGAACACGTGTGTTTCAGTGTGCAAACATAATAAGCGTGTCGGCTTTGAGAGGCACTTTAAATTGCGAGAGAAATTTGAAGGTCAAAATTAATCGTACCCACTTTTTTTTTAAGCCACATTGTACGCGCTACTGTGTGGAAGTACCTTTGTACTGGCTTGACTCGGCCGTAATTGCTAGTTGTCTTAAAAAAAAAAGCTTCGCTATTTGGTTTCCAAATGTATCTTTTCTACAAAAAGAATGTTAATTATTTTCTTCCGAGGTTTAAAATTTAATCTATACGGTTCATATGAATACTTTGCATTTGTTAACACAGGAAGACGCATTGTAACAAAATGTTTACACTGCAATACAGATTTCCTTTGAGATCTTTGTGCTTCTGTTTTGACCCTAGCATAACGTGGTCTTCTGAATTTTTTTCAGCAACAAAACTTCAAACAGAAGTTCACAGCTTTACTCAGGCGATTTAAGGTCACTGATGAGGTAAGAGCAGACAGCATTTACATTACAGGACTCGTTTTTATGTGTTGCTCATGTTTGGATTATTAGAATGAAATAACTTGAAAATGCCTATTATTATTTATGATGGCATATTGGATTTCTCATGACCTCCAGGCTTCCTTCTTTTGAAGTATCTTGAATTTAATTTCCTGGAATGAAAAATATAAACCATGAACTTTCCACATTGGTGTTTCTGATGCGAGTGAAGCTTTTTCATTGTTAACTTTAAACGTCCTCAATCGTCATATCCCTAGTCCCGCGATAAACTCATGTTTTTTTTTAAGGTAACGACCAAAATGTATCATATATCCACCCCAACATAGGTTACTTTAACATTACGGTGCATTTGAAAATAGTGTGGTGACCCAGTGGTTGGTGTGTTTGCCTTTGGGCACCAAGGCCTTGCCAATTTTAATATATGCTTACACCAACCAAGAAAGTGCATTGGGGGTCAATATTAAAAGGAGGAGACCTCCTAAAATTATTGAGTTCTTAACAGTGACCTTTCCCAATCGATGTGAAATGCAACAGTGTTTTTTTTTCTCTCTCCGCGTCTTGCACTGTTCGGTCCACACCAGGTCCTGGACTCGGAGCCTGACCCACATCCCCAAGAGGTGGAAGACCTGGACTTCCTCTACAAGAGTCTGGACGTGTACAACCCCAGCGACAGTGGGCCTGAGATGGAGGAGGATGAGAGCCTTATGAGCACACCAAAGCCTAAGCTCAAGTAATGGGGGCCATGCATCGTGGACACTGAATAAACGTCGAAATTGACACCCATTGGATGCCAAAAAGATTCACTACACCATGCACTTAACAAGCGTGCCGTGTATCGTGTAGTGCTCTGCACACAGCATTCGTTGGAGGCTATACATGGTTATCTATTTTATCAGTACCCCTACTTGATTTCTAATGACACTACTTGCTTGTCAACAAGCCATTTAGTATTGTGAAAGCGATGACTCCATGTCTCCATATCTTTGAGAAGTGCTTCGAATCTAGTTTGTTCAAATATGTTAAGAGTATATTCAGATTGATGGAAGACATGTAGAGGTTTGAATAAAATGTGTTTGTTTCTGTAATTAATCTGTTATTTTAGTGGGGTGTCTATAAATGGATCACCCCGTATTACATATGCAAACACAACGTTCTCATTTTTGACTTGTAGCTGTAGCTCCAAATGCTGTTCGCAAGCACTTAAGGCAGAACCAGCACACGAGGGTGGTGTGGGACAGTACTATTCTTGGCCATATTGTGTCTCCCCAATGCTGATGTTTATGTACCTGTTTGTTTTCAACTTCTTTCGCACTGTACGTAGCAAACCGTGCTAGTCGGAGGTGTGAGGGAAGGACAACAAACTAAGCACAAAAAGCAATTCTAAAAGAAATTAGTTTTCAATTTAGATTTAAAAGTGCATAGCTCCAGTGGCTTTCTAATATTGGAAGGAAGAGCGTTCCAGATGGCCGCTGAAGCACATCTTTAAGCACGCGATACCTTACCAGGTACTCCGATGAGGCTGAGTAGACCTGGGAAAGGGGGACCAATTACAGGTTCAAATACCTCTTGCTTACTGATGTTATCCATGCGTGGCAATCAAAACTAGGTCGTTGGGATTATAACACAGTACACTAGCCAAGCAATAATGCGTACGTACTAATGCACGTGTACTCCACACTCGCATATTATAGACTCACCCTCTTGAAAAAAAGCTATAACTATGTGTCACTTTTAATGAAGTGTTTGTTTCTACCCAATTTTGACTTGTATTTGAAATTGCAATTAAAGTCCCTCTGTTGTACAGTTTATAGTTACGAGGATATACTTTAGGGTCCTTTTGCAGCTTACTTATAGAACGCTCGCCACTCGCACACCGTTACATGTCACATTCCACACCCTGCCGTGCATGCGCCATGCTTATTAAACCATTCTCTACTTTGAACGTTGCTAAACAAACCGAGCAGCAAAAAAATGCATTTAGTTTTCCTCTTCGTAAGGCTTTATTACTTTTGACAGAATGGCTTTCATGGTTTTGTTTTACAAGTCACGAAAGTTAAAGCATTTTACGTCCACTGTTTTTTTTCTCATGTCTTGCAGACCCTTTTTCGAAGGCATGTCTCACTCGAGCTCGCAGACGGAGCTGGGCAGTGTACAAAGCCTGCGCAGCCAGACACGCGAGTCTGTGAGTCCAGTGAGTGTTGGGTTGCCCTACACACACACACACAGAGGCAAAGGTCTTGCCCGTACAGCCTCCGTATACTGTCAGGGCAAGAGCTGTTTGTGAACACCTCGACTGAAGGTCAAATCGGCTCACAAGCAGGGCGCGTGTGTAGCCAGCACTGTGTGTGTGTGTGTATATGTATGTTGAACATCTTTCGCACCCTGTCGCCAATCATGCTAATCGGAGTGTATCGTAGGGTAGTGTATAGTATGTTTGTATGTTGAACTTCTTTTGCACCGTACATAGCCAGGCCATGTTAATCGGAGGTGCGCTACGCCCCACCTATTGTCACCCCTAGTGCTGTGCGCACCGCACCTAATGTTGAATTTCAAATAAAATCAAAAGTACATTCAATGTTCAAGCAATTGTTATAGCATAAGGCTGTGTATGGCTGAATCGACCTAGGGGAGGTCAAGGATAGGTTCAGATATACGCCACTGGTGTTAGCCGTGGCCAGATTCGAGCAAAGTCTGCTAACCACTACACAACCGCTTCCCAAACAAAGAAGACTGCCATGACACACACGTGTGTGCATGTGTACGTTCGTGCGTTTTTTTTTCCACCTCTTGTTTTGTAATTTAAGCTCGTGGGAGCTTTGTGCTCATGGATATGTACACTTGAGGATGACTTGCCATAGTTAATTTGAAAGAGGTGTTTCATTATTGCGTATACCTTTTTCCCCAATTACCAGGTAGATGGAGAGAGACCTAAGCCTTCCATTAGCAGGCATCAGTTGGGAGAAACCATCGCAGAAAGCATTTCCATGGTAAAGCCGGCTTGTTTTGCATGCATGCTTGACGCACATTGTATTTTTATAGCTTTTAACATTCACATTGAGATATTGGCAAAATGTATTTGCAATTGCACAAAATATGAACAGTTGCATTCCAATGACAATGATGAAATGTTTGGGAGCGTGTAATGGTAGCTGTATGCAATGACTCTGCAAGTCACATGCTGGGTGCACACACACACACCCTATTGCTGCTGTGTTTGTGCACTGCACAGCTTGCCATTGTATTCAGAAAACACCTAATTTCATAACAGGAAACTATGCAAAGTTCCCCATTGTATTTTGGCTTGAGCCCCTGTAGTTAAATGTGTTCGAATCATTTATTGTGATTAAATATTTACAATAAAATGTGCATTTGGTTGAAAAGTGACAGAGGCCATTTGGGAAGCTTTTTACTCCAGCAGAAAGTAAATTTTCTTGGATTGGCCTCCATTTAGAGAACCAATTATGCCATAAAACATATAATATAAAATTATTAAAGGCCTCTGACATTTTTCTGAAACAGCTGAGCACTTTCATGCCATCGTTTGACATGTTAATGTTCACTTAGCACCGATGTGAAAAATCAGACCGTACAAAGCTAAATTCATTTTCCTGAGTAATTGCTCGGCCAGTATTTGTGAGTTTATTGATTGTTTTTTTCCAATCAGGAGGGCGAGGAGAGGGAAGGCAGTGTGTTTGAAATGAGCCTTCGGGAAGTTGGAATAGACCGTCTTCCCCCTTCTGCTAAAATCAGCAAAACCGAGTCGCTCATCATCTCATCATCCCCAAGGTAACGCTTCCTCAAACGTCCACGTAATTTCCCCCCCCCCCACCACCTCTTGCTGTAGTCATGGCAACATAATTATTTAGCCTCCACTGCCAGAATACCACCTACTTCTTGTTTGCTGAAAGGTGAGTTAGGCTTCTAAAAGGTCATATAAATAGCAGAATCCGTGTTCCTAAGGCTAAGTCATTAATGGTTGCATATATCTATGCATTTCATACCTGCTGACCTGGTCACATGGCATTTTCTTTATCTCTTTGCAATTCATTTTACTTTTTTTTATTTGCTGCTGCAGAAATAGGTTTAGTTTCATTATCTGAATTGCAGCACAGTGGTTAAATATTATGAAATGAAGCTCTGAAATGAAATACAAAAATACGCTTTTTTCATGATATTATTGTAAATAAGCCTATATTATTGTGTCTATATACACATCCATCATTCATTCTCAAATATGACGACCTTTATTTTACTAAGAAAAATACAGATGAAAGTTGCGGTGGCTTAATACACACAATTGTGCTTTTAAAGTACTTGTGCCCTGAAGGTAGCATACCCATTCATTGTAATTGGGCTCGATTATTGTAAATATCAGCTCTGTGACATGCTTGTGGGTTGTACCGCGTGTTTGTGGGGAGAGTGGTTGTGGGGAGCGGTGTGATGTGTAAACATCGCCACTGAGGAGACAAAGGTGACCGGGCGTGTTGCTGGCCACCCCACCCCCTCGTGTGCCATGCTGCCCTTCACAGGTGCTCGCTAACAGCACTTGCCCCAACAGTCTGTGTTGGCTATACGGGGGATCTTTGTCTTTGTTTTGCTCAGCATGAGGTCCAACGTTCCTGAAGATGCTCCCAGTGCATGGGGTGAAACATCAGACATCGTGCCAAACAACACACGGTACAGCTCGGAATCACATCGGAGAGCTACACATCGCATGCACAAAAACCTATTCGCTGACACTGTGAAGACTGCATGTGCTGTGGTGATGTCAACGTTATATTTGTTTTTCCGACATCTCTTGAAACCTCAGTGTGCAAGGCCCTTAAAGATTGTTTCCACTTCAGTGTTCTTTCGGTAATTTGTGCCCATAGGTAATCTGTAACATCTTTAGAAGGATGGCACTTGAGTATTTGCAAACAAGCTCAAAGTGGAATGTGCTTATCTTTGTGTTTGTTTTTTCCCCTTGATTGAATGGAACCTGCAAACAGCCAACCGAGTGTATAGAGGCATAAGATGACGTTGCATATTAAACCTATACGAATTGAATATGCATACTGATGTTAGCATGCTGTATATTCAAATGGCCACTTTTGCACATTTTTATTCCATTACGAAAGCATTCTAAACTCGTCCACTGTTATTTATGTAAATTATAGCAGGAGGGTATGGGAAATCATTGGAACTGTGTTTATCGTTGTTTACGCAGACCACAGTTTCCTGTGGCTGACGTTGTATTTCCACGTGAATGGCACGGTGGCTCAAACTTTTGTTTACAGATTTTTATAAAGCTTGGTGGGAGCCTAGCGGGGTGGCATGCACAACCAAATGCCAGAGCATGTGTCGGGGCACAAAGGGCACATGCCTGACCAGAAAGGGCATGTGTGCCAGGCACAACAACAAGGGGCTCCAGGCCAGGCGAGATCACATTCCCTCCCCTGAGCTCTTATTTCTGCCTCACCCTGTGAACAAAACGCTTTTGTCCATAACAGAGGTTTTTGAGTTAGATCGCGTAAATATAAATGTGTCGTTAAACCCGCCACCACCCGACACAGCCAATTAGTAAGGTTTGCCACGTAAACAAAACGTGCCAATTTGTTCAGCACACCGGTGTGTTGGAGAGTAAACCCACAACATTCACAAAAAACACTCTTGTATGGTTATCCTAAAAAAAAACTGGTGAACACTGCAGCCGGGTGATTTGTCTCCATTCCTAGCCTGTAATCGCAATTCAATTCCTATGATCGATTATGACTGCCAATGGGAACGGCGGAATAGTGGGGGGTGGAGCGGATTACGTGGAGCGTGACATGAAATTCGGGAGGGCCCGTAAGCCAGACCAGCCTGGTGGAATCCCTCTTGAAACATATTACATGGGCAAAATAGCGTGGTGTGCGGTGTGTAACATGAGTGGCGTGTTGTCTTTGTTACCATCGTCTTCTTTACTGTATTCAGCACCATCATGGTAGGTTTGCCATTCCCAGTAGACCAAGTAGTGGGCCAAGAAGCTTGAGTAGTAGTCCCTGTGTTTCTGAATGGTAAACCTGGTGGACCAAATATGAGTCCTGTTGGACTGGTAGGCCAATTCATAGTCCCAGTGGGCCTAATTATAGTCCCTTGGTCGCAGTATATATTATTGGAAAAGCCGGTGGTGTTCGTGGTGCTCCAGGTGATCTGAATTGGTATTCAACATAGATCCTTCTGGTCTGCGAGTTGCAGTCTAATGTGTAGCCTACACATTGCCAATATGGTTCAATGGCAAGTGTTACAGCTAGATTTGTCCACAATCGCTATTGAAATATTTAGCCGATGCGACAGATATGCTTTCCGTTGGCACTAGGCTGCCTGGAATCCGCCAAACCCGCTATTCTGGCTGGCTGCGATCAGCTATGGTCTGCTAAGCTAAGCATAGCCAAAGCTCTGTTAAGCCAGATTCACCACCGTAGGATCACAATAGAATGCCATTATATTGCATATTCCCTGGCAGAATCCATGTTTGAATCACCTTCAAACGAAAGGGAGATTGTTAACATATTAATTGCCTTTCGAAGAATTGTGATTCTTGGAAGAAAACTAAACTATACTCTTTGGTTTTTTCGGTAAAGTCACCTGATGACAGACGTTTGTGTTGCACCCGAAACGTCGTGATTTATTTTATTTTATAGCTACGTGACTTTACCGAAAGAACCAAAGAGTATGGATCCCTGCAGTCATGAAAACTTCAAATCTAGATTAAAACTAAACTATGTTTTATTTTATCAGGTAAGCGCCACTGAGCCACTCTTTTTCAAAAGCGACTTGGTCATAAATGATAGCGCGTCGAAGTGGCTTATCACGTGAAAATTTATATCAGCCAAATTCTCTTAAACGCATGTTGATTCGTAACGTAGAGGGCAAAACCATAGGACCCGGATAAAAGTCCACTCGACCACGGGGGAGAACACGCAAATTCCGAATATACCGGCGATTGCGGGGCTACACCTTGAATGTTTTGGGTGAATGTCTATTGCCGTGCTGTCATGTTTTGCAGCAAGGTGGAGTTAAAGCAACAGAGGCGAGCGCGCAGCACGTCCTTGCGGGAGCGCCCGTCGGAGCGCGGTTTGCCAGAGAGGGGTGACTCGGAGAGGTCCCCAGAGTCCCTGCACGCCTCACAGGTTTGTACCGAGTGCAGTTGCATACCTGGTCCAAACCATACGGTTTTACCCGTATTCTAGTACAGAGAAATTGAGTTTTCAGGTCCATACGGCATACAGCCATTTCGAAACGGGCGCATTTTTTTTCGTATATTTGTGTTTCTCCCTTGTGATGGAACTTTGTAGGATGAACGTTGACATTTATAAGGACACGGGGTGACCTACAGGGTCTGAATTGGTCTGTAATAAGGTAGGCACTGATAAGTGGTTGACAGGTATGCGGTTGCGCCACCCAGTTGCAATGTAAAAAACGCTCTCAACCAGTGTGACCACGCTCGCTGTGTACGGTGAGAAACTCGTCAGACGATGGGGGGGAGAGCGTTTAAGCTGGAAAATGAACAGGAGAAAATGTCTCTGTTCTGGTAATTGCCCCAATTTGGTGATATATGCATTTATTAACATTTAATTGTCAGAAATTACTGAACAGATCAAACATATGTCAGTAGTTAACCAAGCACAAAAATGAACTGTTAAAATTACGAATATATTTTTAGGTGGAGTGCATGTTGTACCCTCATAAACACCCAAAGGCAGCTGCTCTCCTTATGTGGTTACAAGCTGCTTTGTGGTGATTTGTGAATCATTTAATGATAGGATCAAGAAACCAATGTAATCATTCTTTGCACAGTTTAGAATGCTGGGTGTACACTTAGAGTTTAAAAATAGCCCTGCATAATCACGCACATGCACACACGCGGTGTTATTTTGTTAAAAAGGTAGAGCAGAATTGTGGACCACAGATTGCCGGTTCTTTTACATGTATATTTTTTTAATGTTGAACAAGTTAACACCATGGGTGTAAAATAAATTCCGTTTTCTTTCACTCGACAATTTTAATCATAGGCCCATTTAATTAGAACTAGTTTTATATTTATGAAGGAATGTAATGAATTTATGCAGGGAAACAATACAACTGTTTAACACGCAACCATGCTACAATTGAAATGGTGTCAACGTGTTCTTAGCTCTTTCGGTAAAGTCACGTTGAAGGGAAACAATACAATTATAAAATATATAAAACAATAAAAATTCTCACGACGTTTCGACCATAACACAAACGGTCGTCATCAGGTGTGTGATGACGACCATAACACAAACGGTCGTCATCAGGTGTGTGATGACGACCGTTAGTGTTATGGTCGAAACGTCGTGAGAATTTTTATTGTTTTATATATATTTTATTATTTTATTGCTTCCCTTCAACGTGACTTTATCGAAAGAGCTAAGAATATGAATTACTGCAGTCACGAAAGCTTTAAATCAAAATTTGGTGTCAACGTGATTAAACTGGCAGCTTGGTTTTGGTGAGAGCCAGAAGCTGTTGCTACTTCACAACTGAAAAATAAGGTTTCTGGAGATGTTTCTTTAGCTCCTCATGCTGGACTCTCTCAGAATTGCACCTTCACGAGGATCTTTATACTCTTTGGTTCTTTCGGTGAAGTCGCGTAGGAATAAAATAAATTAAATCACGTGACGTTTCGGGCGCAACACAAGCGTCCGTCATCAGGTGGGACAACCACAGCAAGAAACTATTGCTGGAGAAGTTCGCCCACTTCAGAAATTGTTTCTTGCTCTGGTTGTCCCACCTGATGATGGACGCTTGTGTTTGTGCCCGAAACGTCGTGATTTCATTTATTTTATTTTAAACCTACTACGTGACTTTACCGAAAGAACCAATGAGTATGGATCCCTGCAGTCACGAAAACTTCAAATCTAGAGGATCTTTATCTTGAGTACATTTAAATGCTCTTGGCAGGTTTGTTAACAAGCAGTTGTATCATGTACTGCCATCAAATATTCACGCGATGGAACGTTAAAGTATAAATTGTGACGAATTATTTTTCAAACCAAGTCCTCGCATTTAGACTGCAGTGTTCTGCTTTGGCCAGAATGCAGCTGACCTCATCAGATCTCATAAGCTCAGCGGGTTTTGAGCCTGGATATTTTTACAGATGAATCGCCGCCATACACAAATAGGGTTACGGAATTTATATATCGTGGGCAGCAGAGGGCAGTGCAGCACAATCCATTGTTGCACTACACCTCAATGACCCCAACACTTCCCTCCACGTTTCGCACCGGCTAGTGCGGTGAAGTTTCGTCAAGTAACTCCCGTGATCCGCACAGTGTGTGTAGGCCCGAATCTCGCAGTGTGTTTTATAAAGGGTTGTGCATATATAATCAACTGCGATTTGATTATTCGCATAACGGAATAAATTACAGGTGAAGTGATTTCTGTATGTTTTGAGCCGAGGAACCGAACGTTTAATGAGACTAATTAGACTCTAGTTATCTGAGAATGGACCAATGACTCTGTACCTGGTTCTGCATTAGTAGCGGCAGAAATTACACTTGATTTTCCACTTTAAAATCTTTCTGATAAAACAATGCATGCAAACCGCAAACAAATAAGAGATTTGGAACTGATTTTTTTCTAAAACCCCCCTTTTTCAGACGCCCAGAAAAACTGTGTACGATCAACTCAATCAGATCTTGAGTTCCGAGGATCAACTTCCAGAGAGCATCATCCTGGTCAGCACGTCTGACTGGCAGGGACAGGTACGGGAAAGAGAACTTATTAACATTATAGTTTCTTTATCTTTGGGACCTTTTTGCCAGTATCAAAATGATGAACTACAATGCATATATTGTCAGGGCATGTTTGTTTGCATGTTTTGCCTCAAGTACTTGTGGTTAATGCAGACTTGATGCCTTGCAATAGGTATCTATTTGTTGTTTGAACATCTTCACACCTGCTTTATTGCCAGAAAGGGTAAAGCCTATTCTTATAGTTTCCTTGTTTTTTTATTGTAAAACGTTGTAAAGATGCAGCCCTACAATTGCTTGCTCACGCCATTCCTGATTAAAAAGGCCTCCACTAGAGGAAGCTGTCGCAAGACCCTCTAGAAAAGGGTATTTTTGGCCTACTCGTCCGCAATGGCCAGACATCTTGAAAAGTGGTGGCATGTACTCACCACGCTTTACCCCACAATATGTGACCTATGAGAATGGTCTTTACAGTGGATCTTGAGATCGAATCAAACTGGCGACCTCTGACTAACAAGACCAGTGTGCTAAATATTACACCTCGGCTCAGCAGCAGCAGCAGCTGTATTTATCTGTAATCTAGAAAGCCTCTGCAATTTCATGGCGCAGTAAACTTATAAATGCAGTACACAGTCATAATTGAGTGCTTTTAGAATCTGCTTCTGTTGAGCTCCTCTTGTAGGCATGCACTTAAGCATGCTAAATATGCTAATCGTCCCAACTCGATTTGCTCAGTTTTCCAAGCTCTCTGAAAAAATAAAACGTGACACTAATAAACATGTGACTTATCAAGTGAAATTTGCTTCGCAGAAAATAAATACCCTGTAAATGTGGTGGTATATATTATTGGTTCTTTCGGTAAAGTCACGTTGAAGGGAAACAAAATAATAAAATATATATAAAACAATACAATTCCGGACATACAGTACCCTGGTGTCTACAAACGAAGTTGCCTCTGTGGTAGTAGTTACATTGGAGAAACCACACGACATGTCTCGGACTGCATTCATGAACACAAAGCAGACCTTAAACACGGTAGGACCAACACCTCGGCCGTGGCAGATCACTGTTGTAATTCAGTAGGCTCACATGACATTGACTTCTCCAAGACAGAGGTTCTTTGCAAGCCATCTGGCTGCCATGAGAGATTCGTTCATGAGGCTATCCACATATACAAACACAGACAATTTCAACCGAGAAGATGGATTCTGGCTTAGCAATGATTGGAAGGATTTGATCGACCATTTCAGGTCTTAGTTGATCACGTTTACGATGGCTTTCAGACAGCATACATTCATTTTTCGTCTCCCCCCTCTTTTTCGAACATAGATGGACTCGTCCATCTAAACAAACTGTAAAAAAACGCTATCCGTGATTATAACGTCTAAAAATAAATAAATACAAACCGCCACTTCTTTCAAATGTTCTTGCCGTTGGTTTTCACACCTGATGATGACTGTTTGTGTTGCAGTCGAAACGTGAGAATTTTATTGTTTTATATATATTTTATTATTTTATTGTTTCCCTTCAACGTGACTTTACCGAAAGAACCAAGAATATGAATTACTGCAGTCATGAAAGCTTTAAATGTGGCGGTATAGTTTGCGTAGGTGGATTGTCCATATTGCTACGAACCTGGCCTCGGCTAAAATCAGTGGCTCGTGATGTCTAAGCCATTTCTGAGCCCACCCAACCCCCACCCCATTCACACACCAGCACTAATTAGTGTGGTAAAGTGTGCTCAGACAACTCCCATGATTGACACATTGTAGGGAGGTCTTCATCGACCAGTGGACTGATAAAGGGAATTATTGTGGTAAATCAGAATTAGGGAGACAAAGGCGTGTGGACATGGCGCTGACTCTTCCACAACGTTTGGATGGTTTGCTTTTATACTACTAACAAGTAAAAAAAACCTTCACTAACAGTGCATGTCCAACCTCTAGTGAGCAATAAACATTATTGTAGGTGTCTGGCATGTCTACATGTGTGTGTGAGAGAGCAGCGATTGTGTAGCGGTTAGCGTGCTGCGCTACAAACCTGGCGACCCGGCTTAGATTCCCACGCGTGGTAAACAATAGTGACGATTATCTGAACCGGTCCTGGGCCTCAGCCATAAATCAGTACTTGGTGCGGTGTGTAAACGTCGCCATTCGGGAGACAAAGGCGGGCCTGGGAGTGGTGCTGGCCACCCCACCCCCTCGTGTGCCGTCCCAGCCTTCATAGGTGCTCGCTAACAGCGCTTACCCCAACAGTCAACTAACGGCTATATGGGGGATCTTTGTCTTCGTTTTGTGTGAGAGCAGTATGTGGCAGAGTGCCTGCAGGAGAGGGGCCAGCCTGTGGTCTGCACCTGCTCCTCTGCTGATGTGCAAGCCGCCTTCAGCAACATCGTCTCTCGCGTGCAGCGCTTGTGAGCAACTTCATTCAATAACATATCCACTAATCCGTCTGTCTCTTTGTATATTCATCAAACGGTATATAATGAATCCAAGGATTAACTCGAGGATAAACATCACGCTCAGTGGCTCTCCGCTGTGACTGCTTATGTATTTGGATTATTAATGAGTGTTATTTTATGCGTGCCCTCGAGGAGTTATTGTGGTATGAAAATAACGTGAATGTGTTTGGTTCACATGTCTATCGGTTGCTGCCAAAAAAATATATTTGGCAACGCAAAGCAAAACAACATTTGTGAATTACGGCTACTTGCATCATGCAAGGCATATCTCAAAGTGCTTGTGGACCATATGTGAGGCATTTAAATGAAACTATTAAACATTTTATTTTGCCAGGTAAGGCCCACTGAGCTATTTAGCTATTTTTCAGAAGCAACCTGGCCACAAATGCTAGCTCAACGATGTGGCTTATCACGTGGAAATTCCCAGCAGCCAAATAACTCTTAAACGCATGCTTCTACTGCGCACCCATAAATATATACCCTCTGCATGCATTAAAGGGAGGAAGGTGGGTTGGAAAATAAATGTCAAATTAATATTCACTTTCTCTTTGCCAACCCGAATTTGTGCTTGCTTTGGCATATTTGGTATCCTCATTCCAAGAGGCATTTTCATTTGATGTATGAGAAGCAGATTGTTTTATGTTAGTTCTTTGAGTTTCATTTTGTCTTTGATGTACCCATCACAAAGAAATGCAGTGTTTATAAAAAATATATAGTGTTATTTAATCTCAGTCGGACAATCTATATATCTGTTAGTTGTTGCAGGCGTGTTATTTGCAGGACCAGGAATTGATTTTGGTTTCAATAGTTTTATATTCAGATTGTATTTCCTTGCACAGGAGCATAAGTTAATTGTTGCATGCAAAACAAGGGTGCTTGCAAGGCAATTCATCGTCTTTTAAAATGTGTTAAGTGCAGAGAACAAAATCTTCCTTTCATGTGATTCCCAACGGGTAAAATAATCGCATTCAAAATAGAAAAACACCTTCATGATAGCGGTTTAAGCTGATCTCCGACCACTTTCCTATCACTCTGAGGGATTTCTCGCTTCACCAAACCACCATTTTAAAAATAAATACGATGTATTTATAAAACGGATATAAAATTTGAAGGTAACAAAAAAAAACACATTTGAAACTTTTGTTGTGTTTGTCTCTCTCCGTTCATCTCCATGACAGTTGTAACACGAACGCACAGACGCCTCACCCGATCCGACTGGCAGTGGCGGGCGGGCAGAGTTACCTGAGTTATGTGTTACGGCACTTTGTGGAACAGCTGTCAAACAAGACGCCCGACTGGCTCAGCTACCTCCGCTTCCTGCTCATCCCGCTCGGTCTGTCGCTAAGCCAGCTTGGAAACAACCATTGTGCCCCACCATAGAGAGTATCCTGGAAAAGATATCTGTTACCTTTTCTACGACCAAATTACCCAGGATGTTCCCAGTCTCGTCAGATCTCGGAGCCTGCGTAGTACTTTGAACGGTTGACCACCGCGCACAAACGGTTTGTCATAGGGCCTCCTCGGTGTATAGTACACCAAAACGCATTGTTGTACTGTACACCTGCCTTCGCCAACCCACACTGACTGGTATGGAGACGTACCGTCAAGTGGCCTTCATGATCCACAGATGTGGGGAGGGCCTCATCCAGCAGTGGATGGGCAACAGTGATCAACATGTCAACCTTAAGTTAAAATACAAAGGATCTGGCTATTATTGCTCAAGCTGTCTGCCCATGGCCTTTAGTTGTGATGTTTTTGTTAGCGAGTTGAAGTTGGTAACCAACCTAGATCCTCGACCAACTTTTATATTTCGCACCGTACATGGCCAACCGCAAATAAATGTCTCAATAAATATTTATCACAAATCTGTTTTTTCTGTATTCGATCTATTTCATCATGTTATTTTGCAGGCAGGGATATATTTACCATTAAATTAAGCAACCTTCAACAAATTGTATTCCATGAAATTCATCGATTTTTTTTTTAATGCAAAGCATGCATTCTTTGCCCAACCGCCTGAAACATGCCTGTTCACCAACAGCTCCCCACCCACTTGCCAAGTACCTGGCCACCATTGATGGCAAATACGGCAACGCTTTCATGGACGCGTCATGGAGGGAATTGTTCAGTCGCGCCGAGGCTCCCATCACAGGTATTCATTCATATCGCCCCGGCCCATATTCTACTGGCTTTATGTAACATTGCATCAGTGGGAAGGTTTTTTTTTCCAAAGGCTCCTTCTTAGGTTGGGATTCTTAAGTACAAGTTTTCACGCCTACTCCTTTGATTATATCTTTATTGGTCCTGAGCCCCCCTTTCACTCGCCCGCTTTGACGAGCATGCTTTAAAGTATTGTCAAACAATCCTCGTGACTGACACGGCGTACGGAGGTCTTCATTTGGCAGTGGATTGACAAGGGCTATAGGTTATTATTATTATTACCGTCTTGTACTTTGCACGTGCTGAATAAATGTAAAAAAAAAATATCACCAGGTTTGGATTTCACGTTCGCCCTCGATGTACAGAAATGAAGCTGCTGGTACATGAACGAAGCTGCGCTCCATTGTGTTGTTTGTGCTGTTAAAAAAACTGGTTAAAATCCTCGTGTGTCCTTTCAGAGCCGCTGGACGTGGCGTCGCGCGTCCTGCAGTTTGTAAGTGGAGCTGTGGTCACGCACCAGCTGCCAATTGCCGAGGCCATGCTCACGTACAAGCAAAAGAGGTGTGTAACGGCCGCACGCACTCACCTCTCCGTACGCTGGCACGATATCAAGCAGGCTCGTCACCTGCATAATTTAGATTACGCGTGTCGCTCATGCGAAGCCAATACGTATTGCTGCCACACTTAGGTTTTGTTCTACGGGGTGCAGTCTCGGAGCTGTACTTGATCCAATTTCACGATGTTACATTTTTTTGGTCTCAAATGGAAATTGCTCAGTTTGTACTCGATAGGACATGTCTGATTTCGTTTCTATCTTCCTTCCAAAAAATGTGTGCATAATATATTGAGGGTTTTTTTCCCAACAGCCCAGATGAAGATTCTTGCCAGAAGTTTATTCCCTTTGTCAGTGTAAGTGAAATTCACCTATTACTTATTTTGCATGCATATTTTTCTTAAATAATGAGCATTTATCGAAAGAAAGGTCAGTATTTGTATGATGCTGTGCCATATGTAAAGTCAACAAGAAACAGAAATCTTATCTAACGTATTCGTTTACAGGTTGTGGTTGTCGGAATAGTGGAACACTCTTTGCCCGGATCAGGTAAATACCTTTGTTAAATTCACAAAGCAAACCTTAAGTAACGCTTTAGTGCTTGAGTTAAAGAGCCCACTCTCCTCCAGCCACCCCTCCCATGCCCTTCTCTTACTCCCCGAGTGAGTGAGTTCCCACTTGCTCCGCCAAGGCCTCTTCCCCTCACTCGGCATAAAAACAAGCCACCACTTTATCCCTCTCAACTTAACAGTCGATTTCCCCCCCCCTCCACCAACCCCCCCTACCCCCCTTCCATCTTCCCATCTTACCACAATTAGCAAAAGCTTTTATGCCCCCTGTACACCGCGGGGCTGTCGTATTTACATCCTTGGCCATGTTATTTCAGGCGATTCGGACGATGGGATGCTCGCCACTCCAAGTTCAACGGCCCTCACCTGTACTCCTCCCTCCACGGGCTCTGCGGGCAGTGGGCCCACACTCGGCCCAAGCCAGGGAGTGCCAGCGCGAGAGGTGGTAGCTACTCCGCCCTCGTCCCCGTCCGTCACCAGTGGACTGACTGCCTCGGGGTACGATGCTCGCGCGACGATACAGCCGCACTTCTGCTGCGCTCGTGTAGACTTGCATCAGTTGCCCTCCTCGACGTTTAATCCCAGTGTGCTCATTGGAAGAAAATTGTTGACGTCTCTCTGCCTCCAATCATATACATGTTGCCTATTAAATTTCCCTTTATGCTTTATTATTATATTTTGTATCCTTATCTTTCAGTTCCTCAATTTATCTCCCGAGTTCTAATTAAAAATAAAATATATTTTCGACGTGAAAACAGGCTCATCGATTGAAAAATCGATGTTTATGTGCACAATATATACGTATGGAAATGTCCATGTAAGAATCAGTTATGCAGATTTTATGTGCATGTAAATTTGAGGCTAATTAAGTCAACAAACCTTTACAAGTGAGACCAAAAAAACCCCAATAAACATTACCAACACGTTGGTAAAAACAAGACGGAAATGGAAATTATTCAATCGAACGACCCCCAAATTGTACCAATTCGTCAAATACCTAATAATGTAGGCAGACAAATCCTTGCACACGCGCAAATCCTTGGGCTGACGGCCCGCTTAACCATCGCTCTCGTATCCCTGGATTCAGCGCATCCGGTGGCGGTGGATCGCATGCATCCAGCCCCGGCACGGAGCTCATGGGGCTGCAAGTGGACTACTGGGCGACTCCTGCCGGCTGGCCTGCCGAGCGCAAGGCCGGTGGGGAGAAGCGCGAAGGGCCGGCCGCCAAGAATACGCTCAAGAGCAACTTCCGCTCGCTCGTCGTGAGCCGCCTGCCGTCAAGCGGAGACAGCCTGCCCACCGCCACCATGTCCATGACCGTCGTCACTCAGGAGAAAAACAAGAAGGGTAAGGCAGGCGACGGAGCTGCGGAGACGTCGAAGCGGTCCGCCGTGTTTGTTTGTCGCCCCGCAGCGAGGTGCAGTGGCCGCCACCGTTTAAGTTGGTGGTACTTAACATTCACTGCAGCCTTGCATTCGTTTGGTTCTCAATCAGTCGTAAAATAATGTATAGTGTTAACAAATACGTAGGGTTTGATGGAACAAAGTAGTTGTACTCACGTGCCCGTGGTTAATTTGTGTTTCGATTATTTACCTTCTAAAAAAAATACGGCATGTCTCGCGCCACCCAGAAAGGGGCATCTCGCACCCCCAGGCGGTACGTGCACCCCAAGTTAACAACCACTGGTTTAAATACTGGCGTAGGTTTTCGCGTTTGTGTGCTGCGTGGTTCTCCCGAGTTTTGTTTTTTGCGAGTTGTGCAGAACGCGGAACAATTTGCAATTCAACCTGATAACATAGGAGAGCTGACCAACACCGTTGCCAAAACTGATTGCCGTTGCATTGTTAACACCACAGTTTTGTTTCCTTACCACGTCCAGGATTTGAGTTCCGCCTCGCCTTGCATTGTGAAGGCATTTCCGCTCTCCATTCCTGTGGAGCCCCACTGAGCTTTAACTCTTCCCTTGAGTGCCGGAGTGTGTTATATTCTTGAAGGGCATTACACTTTTTTTGTGGTAAATTTTGTTGTTGTCAGCAGAGGGCAGTGCAGCCAACATATATTGTTGTGCTGTATTATCCTCCCAGCGTCCTTTTCCCTGGCTTTACAAGCATGGTAATATATTTTCCAATAACCCTCATGATCCATGGCAAGAGACCGCTCTAAATATGCAATGGTTTGACAAAAGTGCTTCTTCCTATGGCTGATGTAGATGTTGAGCAACAACTAATTTTACCTTCAGATGATGGAGCCAGTGTAATTGCATCAGGAGTGTAGCCCAGTGTGTCGCTGTGATACCTCCTTCGTATTTGTGAATTGTGCATTGAGCTGTTGAAAGTTCCATGGTCTCTTCTTGGTGACCACACTCGAACACTGGATGGAGAGTTTTACATTTTCCATTTATGCGTCAATAACCACATCTGCCATGGTGTGTGCGGATGCGATTATGGGTTGCCCCATAAGCTTCGCGGAAGATAAATATCCGTTCTATGCGCAACTGGATTTATTGACAATGATGCGGTACAAAAAATTGCCTGCGGTCCATCTGTTTTGTCCATGTGACCACTTGTTGAATGCGTGTTATTTATCACCACCCCTCCCGCCGCACGTGTCTGTCCAGTGATGTTTCTCACCAAAAAGCCCAAGGACAAGGAATCTGAGCCTAAGAGTCAGGTCATGGAGGGGATCAACCGCCTCATTTGCACAGCCAAGCACCAACAGACCATGCTTAGAGGTGTGTTAATTCTTAACGTTTAGAAATGTCATCGTGATGTTTTTTTTTCAGACTAAAGGACACGAATGAATCAAATACAAGGGTTATTTAAGTCTGCGCATTAAATGTGTTTTCTTCGATGTGAGTGATATAGTTGGGTTATTTGATTTTAATCGTTAATTATCCAAACCACAGTGCTAATCATGAGATGAACAAGGGCATGCGTTTCATGAAAACACACCCAATGTAAAAAAAAATCATGGTCTATATTCTGATTTGAGTAGTTAAGCATCGTTACATTTTGATTTAAACCTTTCGTGACTGCAGGGATTCATATTCTTGGTTCTTTCGGTAAAGTCACGTAGAAGGGAAACAATAAAATAATAGAAAATATAAACGGTAGGACAGGGTTATATTCTATTCTTCCCTATGGTATTTTGTCATGTGCAAGGGTTTTATTACAGCAGTGATCAGGTTTTTTTTTATAAAAACAGAAGAAGCATTGTCATGATTAGATATCTTATTTTGCTGTTTATAAGATTGTATTTGCACAAGTTTTTGCAGGTGTCCAATATATCTTTCCAATGTGCATTGGGCCTATACCGTGTTGTTCGGCACGATATCTGTCATTTATTGCCGCATGCTGGGAGGTTTTCAGAAACTCGGTTTGGCTCCTGCAGAAGCTCGTCAGCACGTGGAGCAAAAAAACGTCAGACATGATGCCAAACAACACGCATTGCAACCTAAAAACACGTCGGAGAACTGTTACGAGTGCATTTGACGGAGGATTTTCACACGATTCTTTTCATCCACAGTGACCATTGACGGAGTGGAGTGGAACGATGTGAAGTTTTTCCAGCTGGCAGCTCAGTGGTCCACGCACGTCAAGCACTTTCCTGTGGGCGTCTTCGGCTACTCCAAACCCACCTGCTAAAGAGGGGCACTGCTCCCCCGCGGAGGCTGCCCGAGTCAAATTCAGTGTTCACCAGAACCGAAGGGACCCGGTTCAGCGTAGTCGCGGAGATACGAGAGAGCTTAGCGACGTAAAGCTGCCTATTTGATGAAAGTGGCATAGTTAGCCCAAACTCGAAGGCTTCATCGTGGAACATCGTCGTGGAATGTTGTCTTCGCATGCGAACACCTACTGCCAAAATAACCTACTAATTTGAGGGTGGACCATTATAAGCTAAATGAGTGGCTAGTGGTTGCTTTCAAGGTTTTTTTGTGTCAAAATAAACTCTTTTGAAATGTACCTCCATCAGCTTCACTCACATCAAAGTGTCTTGGCCAAGTTATTTCAAGGGCAGAGTGCGCAGGCTGGCGTGTAATGTGTTTAGGTGTATGGCACTATAGTCTTAAGGGTTATTTTTGTTAACACGGGCATATGTTGTCCCTTTGCCTTAGCAGTGTTCAATATGTATTAAGTGTAATGTTCGTTTTTTCCATTTTTTTTTTAGTTTGGCCAGAGCACAACTGCACCATGTTTGTAATAAGAAAAAAAGGTCAATTTTGTGTTCATGGTTTGCTTTTCTGAGCCAAACACATGTAAGGTGTCGGTGTGTGTGTATATGGGCACAAATTTGTGCAAATTGTTACTGTTACTGAAATATCATTTGCCCTAGCTGTTTAACTGTCGGTATGTTGCTTTGCACAGCATTGTTTTATTTTGTGTTGGATATACATTCTTGCCTCTGGTTTTTATTAATCAGAAAACAAATTAAGTATTGCACATTTTTGTTATTTACTTGAGCCTAATTTAGTTTATTACTTTGAAACGATGCACACATCTGAAATACTGCTGTTTTCAGCTGAACCAAATGCCGATTTCTTAACCCACACTGGCCTTTTAAGAAGAAAATAAATAGTTGTGCCGTTAAGTTCAAACAGCAGCATGCTGTTGAGATGGGGCAGTGTTGCAGTTTGGACAAGAGGTGGCATCTTTTTGCAGTTGTTTCCCAGCTCTAGAATTCAAAACACAATTCGCTTGCCTTTTTTGGCTCCTGTAACTTTTCACGAAAGCACAACATTGCTTCTTACTTTATTTTTCGATGTTTATTTTGTGCACTGTAAATTACACTCCTTGTATATATATAAACTGTCATTTGTTAAAATCTGATGTGTATTACTTCATGCGTAAGTTTGTGAAAGCACTGATTTTGCTAATTTGTCTTCACAAAAGGGCTTTTTTGCTACATATAAATGTATGCTCACTAGGTTTTACACTGCATAAATATATTGTTGGCTTTATTTTGACATCTGGACAATGTTGAGAAATGCGACCACAGGTGAAATTTTATGTACAGTGAGGGAAAAAAGTATTTGATCCCCTGCTGATTTTGTACGTTTGCCCACTGACAAAGAAATGATCAGTCTATAATTTTAATGGTAGGTTTATTTGAACATTGAGAGACAGAATAACAACAACAAAATCCAGAAAAGCGCATGTCAAAAATGTTATAAATTGATTTACATTTTAATGAGGGAAATAAGTATTTGACCCCTCTGCATAACATGACTTGGTACTTAGTGGCAAAACCCTTGTTGGCAATCACAGAGGTCAGACGTTTCTTGTAGTTGGCGACCAGGTTTGCACACATCTCAGGAGGGATTTTGTCCCACCCCTCTTTGCAGATCTTCTCCAAGTCATTAAGGTTTCGAGGCTGACGTTTGGCAACTCGAACCTTCAGCTCCCTCCACAGATTTTCTATGGGATTAAGGTCTAGAGACTGGCTAGGCCACTCCAGGACCTTAATGTGCTTATTCTTGAGCCACTCCTATGTTGCCTTGGCCGTGTGTTTTAGATCATTGTCATGCTGGAATACCCATCCACGACCCATTTTCAATGCCCTGGCTGAGGGAAGGAGGTTCTGACCCAAGATTTGATGGTACATGGCCCTGTCCATCGTCCCTTTGATGCGGTGAAGTTGTCCTGTCCCTTTAACAGAAAAACACCCCCAAAGCATAATGTTTCCACCTCCATGTTTGACGATGGGCATGGTGTTCTTGGAGTCATAGGCAGTATTCCTCTCATCTGACCACAACACTTTCACCCAGTTGTCTTCTGAATCATTCAGATGTTCATTGGCAAACTTCAGACGGGCATGTATATGTGCTTTCTTGAGCAGGGGGACCTTGCGGGGGCTGCAGGATTTCAGTCCTTCACGGTGTAGTGTGTTACTAATTGCTTTCTTGGTGACTATGGTCCCAGCTGCCTTGAAATCATTGACAAGATCCTCCCGTGTAGTTCTGGGCTGATTCCTCACCGTTCTCATGATCGTTGCAACTCCACGAGGTGAGATCTTGCATGGAGCCCCAGGCCGAGGGAGATTTACAGTTCTTTTGTGTTTCTTCCATTTGCGAATAATCGGACCAACTGTTGTCACCTTCTAACCAAGCTGCTTGGCAATGGTCTTGTAGCGCATTACAGCCTTGTGTAGGTATAGAATCTTGTCCCTGACATCCTTGGAGAGCTCTTTGGTCTTGGCCATGGTGGAGAGTTTGGAATCTGATTGATTGCTTCTGTGGACAGGTGCCTTTTATACAGGTAACAAGCTGAGTATAGGAGCACTCCCTTTAAGAGTGTGCTCCTAATCTCAGCTCGTTACCTGTATAAAAGACACCTGGGAGCCAGAAATCTTTCTGATTGAGAGGGGGTCAAATACTTATTTCCCTCATTAAAATGCAAATCAATTTATAACATTTTTGGCATGCGTTTTTCTGGATGTTTTTGTTGTTCTGTCTCTCACTGTTCAAATAAACCTACCATTAAAATTATAAACTGATCATTTTTCTTTGTCAGTAGGCAAACGTACAAAATCAGCAGGGGATCAAATACTTTTTTCCCTCACTGTACATTGATCAGTTAATTGCCCATTTTCTAGAACCTGAAATTTGTAACAAAAATAATATTGTTTTTTGTATTGTGTTGTGTTGAAAGCTGTGAATGTTCACATATATAGAACTCTTAAAAGGAAAAAACGGATGTGATTGGGCTTATCAACATTGTATTTTGGAAGAGCCAGTCTTAAGCATTTGGGGCCTTGTGCAAAGTGTAATTTTGAAACTCCTAGTTCTGGCATTAGGGATTGGGAGATCTTGCACCTAAAGTTACTGTACATCTCTTAATATGTGGGTTGGTCATGGCTTATTTGCTCACAATTTCATTAAATATCCATTTCAAGCCTTGATGGGGCCTGGTGCTTTACACAAATTGCATGCCCTTTAATTCCGGCTCTTGTTCACATGTACATTTTTTTAATAGCTTGAAATGACGCATATCGCTCAACTGTTGCAATATATGCTGTTAACTGCTGTTTTACTCAAATATGTTGGTGGATTTTTTTTTCTCATTTTATGAGTGGGTTGTGTGGATTTAGTGTTGGACAAAATGTACCGAATAAGTCTTAAAATAAAATGGATTCGATTAATGATGTTAACCGTATCAATGTTTTCTGTCATGCCTTTTTATAGTCTACATCGTGTTCATTGATACTCATTAAGTCTTGTAAAATCTGATTGATATGTGGCCAACAGCAGAGAAGCGTTTCCGAAACAAGGTCATTTTAGTCAAGTGGGATTGGGGGTTAGGACACGTTGCAAGAGAGGATGTTGCCCGATGGTCGAGGCTGACGATGGAATGGGCAGCCAAAGAAGGGGAATGACTTAAGAGAACTTCCACCTACAGAAGGGCGTAATGAAATCGGCACATGGGAACCTGCTATATCGTTGCATAACGAGACCATGAGAAATGACTGTGGCTTGTGCAGGCATTCACCCAGCAATGGTAGATCATGGCTGATTTATGATCGCTTAATAACTCTTGAGGTGGATAATGATATGCATATAAACTGGTGTGACTGTCAATGGGCCACATTACAACGTGTTTCAGGTGTACAGTGCACTGGCCACCCAAGCACTGGGACTTGTCATGTTGCATTATTGATGGAATCATATCACTCGTAAAATATTCAACAGGGTATGTATGGATTTGCTTTAAACAAACACTCGCATGTTGACATGATGAGCAGCGATACTTGTCCAGGGCACTATAGCGCAATGCTCATGTCTTGTGCGACGCAAAATAGTTTACACATGCTTATGCATTTTGTTTCAGGTCTTTTTATTTCTTTGGATGTTAAAACATTTTCAGGGCCTTCCTGGAAACGAATTTTTAAAACTCAGGCTTTGCGTGTGTGTGATTTCAGGGCAGTTTCCATTATGATGGGATTGGGAGGTAGCTTGTAACCGAAGTGCTTGGAGGCAAGGTTTGTGGAAAGGCAGAGTTGTAAGACCCACATCCACGGCACCGGGGTGATATCTTTAAGAAGCAGTACAGCCAAGTCGTTACAGGCATATCTTAGGGCGGATTTTGAGTTCTTGTAATGCAGGATTCTCCGGTTACTCTTTCTACTGTATGAAACAAAAAATTGGCATAACATTGCGATCAGAAATTATTTGAACTCAGTGGGGCATTCATGGGTAAGTGATGTATTACAGAAATTATGCATCTAACGATTCACCCTCGACTAATTGGGCAGATTGTCATGGATTAAGAAATCATTCTTATTGTCGTTGTTTGACTCACGACGGAGTGGCAAAAATGACCACCGCTGCAGATGTGGAACGATGAAATATTTTTTTATGTCTGGGAAATTATCAATTTACAATGAAATATCTATTTCTAAGGAAGTTATGCGTATGTCTAGGTCGGTGGATGAGCCAGTGGATATATTCTGGAGTCTGATTAATATATTTATCCTGCTTGTAATAGTCAGTAACTTTAAGTATTTGTGAGCCCTATTGAAATGTGAATTGGGCCCAGGCATGCATTAACCACGAAGTGGAATATTCTTAAACTAGATTTTTAAAAACTAGAGTGGAATATACTAAATTTTGATTTAAAGCTTTCATGACTGCAGTAATTCATATTCTTAGCTCTTTCGGTAAAGTCACGTTGAAGGGAAACAATAAAATAATCAAATATATATAAAAAATAAAAATTCTCACGACGTTTCGACCATAACACAAACGGTCATCATCAGGTGTTTGTGTTATGGTCGAAACGTCGTGAGAATTTTTATTGTTATATATATTTTATTATTTTATTGTTTCCCTTCAACGTGACTTTACCGAAAGAGCTAAGAATATGGAATATTCTAATTATGTTTCCATTGACCTCCCGATTGCAGTTATACCCATAATGCAATGGGCCAGCAAAATTTTATAATTTTACTCTTAATACAAATTAGTTTACAGTATTTCGTAATACATTACATATTTGATGTATGGCTTGTCTTATTCAAAAGATACGAATTCATTGACCAATTAAAACACTGTTCTTCAGGAAACATTTTAAAGGTGTAATTCTCATCAGGCCTCATGGTGTAAAGAAGTGAGTGCAGTCCCCAACTCTTC